CCATTATTACAACACCAGTGTCCATCGCTGCATTCGTTGTGTTATAGGCACCTATCAGCCAGACTTCCGTCAAAACTATTGTATTGCATGTCCTGGGAATACTACAACGGACTTTGATGGTTCAACTTCTGTATCACAGTGCAAAAGTATGTGTTGTCTTGCAAGAGTTGTATAGATTTTGGAAGAACAAAATAGAGAATTAATTTGTATAGATATGACTATCTGAAATTATCTGTTTTCTTGACTTCCTATTTTTGTGTATGTTACACACAACACACACACACACATTTACATTGTATTACACTCACAAGGCAGATCGCCAGTTGCTCAGCTGATATTCCAGTATTTTTTATATGTTTTCTTGCAGACCGTCAATGTGGTGGGGAACTGGGAGAGTACACTGGCTATATTGAGTCTCCCAATTACCCTGGAAACTATCCTGCAAATGTGGAATGCACTTGGAACATCAACCCACCTCCAAAGCGCAAGATTTTGATTGTGGTGCCTGAAATCTTCCTGCCTTCTGAGGATGAATGTGGGGATGTCCTGGTGATGCGGAAAAATTGTAGGTAACCCAATGCTTCCTTGGAACCATACAGAACATAGCTTTACAGGATTAGCTTTCAGCAGATCCCTGTTGAATGTGTTGATGTAGTACCATCCTCCTTCATTTTCACTGGAGTAATGAGCAAACTAATAGCTGATTCTTCTAGCACTTCCTAAAGAGTTTAGTGTTTGGGTCTTTAGTTTCTACATTGAAACTGATGCCTTACAGTGATGACAGCCATCCAGATACTGATAGTCAGGATCTGATTTTTTTCTGGATTAGAATACACTTATAGAGTTAAACTGGGAATACAATGACATTAAAAAATGTAATTCAGAGCAATCCATGAGTATAAGAAGATTTACTAATTATCATTGTTAATCAGAAGGCCTGCATCCTTCAAGAGGATTATTGTGGGAGTCTCTGAGTGCTCCAAATTTTCAGACAAGAACTTTATTGTGTAGTATTTGTCCCTCATGTATATCTATAGGAAATCAACACATGAACTTTGATTTGTATTCTTCTTGTCCCCTTCCTTCCATCATTTTTTCCTCCAGAAAATCTGTTAAATTATACCATATTGTGGTTGCATGAAGGGTAGTCTTGCTGTTGTACTAAATATATACATACCAAAATTTAAAACTTTGAGGTATTAAGATCCAATCCTCAAAAATGTCCTCACCTGAATGGGTCTGCTCTTATTTCAGATCTAAACGGCCTTTTAGAAATTTCAAGATGATACATCTTGGTTAAGATATGCTTCTTTTTTTAAAAAAAAAAGTGGAATTCAAACATATCCTCCCTTTCATCTCTCAAGTGTAAGGATCTTTAGCAAAAGAAAGAAAAGCCTTTCGTTGCTTACATATCTTCTTTCATCCCTGAAGATGTTTAAATGTTTTATGTTTAATGGTGCAAGAGCTGTGTGATTCCAAACAATGTGCGAACATGATCTGTTTTCTTTTACAGCATCTCCGCCCTCCATCACAACCTATGAGACATGCCAGACTTATGAGAGGCCTATAGCATTCACTGCAAGGTCCCGAAAATTATGGATTAACTTTAAAACCAGTGAAACTAACAGTGCCAGAGGCTTCCAAATTCCTTATGTCACATATGATGGTAAGCATGAGAAAGTTATAGAGCTATGAAATGGTCTGATATTTTTAGCATATAGGTACCTTGTGGACCTATGCTTCCTAGTCCTTCTTCTGATGTCATTTGGCTCCAATCCTTGATGTTAACCATGGACATCTGAAAAACTTTCACACATATATACATCCAAATATCTTATACATTTAATTCTTTAGCCTTTCAGTATTCATGCAACATACACAGATACTGGAAAGCATGGGTGGCAAAATACCATTCTCCAAATAAGATTTCTGGCAGTAAAATATTATTTCAAGTATATAAAGAAGTTGAGTACTTCTGACCAAGGTATTAATGTAATTAATGAGAATGAGTGTCTTTTTAATATCTGTAGGTGGGGAGAGGGGATATTAATCATAAAAGTAAACAATGCCAAGGTCTGTTGTCTTCCTTTTAATTGTTTAAAATGTTGGTATTTCTTTCAAAAATATATATATAAATGTCTAATAGCTGTGATATAATTTTCTTGAATTGTTGTTTTCAATTTATTGAAATGTGACAGCTATATGGCAAGAGTCTTCAGTTGGTTCATATAGCAAGCAATACAATATCAAGCTTCCCTCTTTTTCTAAATATCTAAATAGTTAAACATGCATTTATAAATAGCTATTACAAGACTGGGTTTTTTTGCAAAAAAATTTAATGCTAGAAGGAGATTCTCAGGCACTTTAGGTTGCTGATCCATATGCATCAAAAATGTTAAACTGATAAAATTCTTATTATTTCTTGCTATAGCCTCAGTAACTCTAGAATTATGTCTAGAACTATTGTCTAGTTCTACACCATTTTCCTTCATTCATCTTTCTCTCAGGAATGCTTGTCTTTGGATCTTGCAGATGACTTTGTTAATATCACTTTCTCTTTCTGATGCTAATGATTTACCATGAAATGAGTTCCAACTCTTGCAGAGCATATGGAAGATTTTGTCCAAGTTGATATGCTTTCCATCCGGTTCTTCAGGTCTTCCAATGTGCCCCTATTTCTATTCTAATTTATTCCGTGCACTTTGCTGCTTATTCTCTTTTATCATTCTTTCCTTTAACTTTTCCTAGCATTATAGATTTCTCAAGAGGGCCAAGTCTTTCAATAATGTATTCAAAATGTAATTTGAGCCTGGTCATTTGTCCTTGGTGAAAACTCTGGATTGATTTGTTGTTTACCTGGCAAGCGATGGTCTCCGGACTTTTTTGCAACTCCAAAGTTTAAAAGAATATTCTTCTTCACAGTCCAACTCGTGCTTCCATAGGGAAGTGTCATAGGGAAAACCATTGCTATAATATATCATGGCATCTGAATATCTTTTCCTCATTGCTATTCTACCAACTTCTAGTTAGAGGTTTATTTCTTTATTCCGCCTTCCCTCCAAATTCCATGAGGCAACTCTGGAGATTATTAAAATCTTTTTATGATGCATGTACAGTATGTATACATTGCACTCAAAATAAATTTACTGGCTGCTTTTCTTGTATCTTTGTGACTACTTTACCCAATAATACAGAGGATTATGAACAGCTGGTGGAAGACATTGTCCGAGATGGCAGACTCTATGCATCTGAAAATCATCAGGAAATATTGAAGGTAAGACTGGATAAGGATTTGATTCATTGGTATCCTTCAGCACAGGGATTCCCAACCCCTGATCTGTGGACCGGTTCCTGTCCGTGGCATGCCAGAAACCGGGCCACACAAACAAGTAAAGCCCCATCCGCGGGATGCAGGCAGCATGTAAAACCATGCCCCCTCCAATCCGCAGAAAATCCTCTCTCCATGGAACCAATCCCTGGTGCCGAAAAGGTTGCAAACCGCTGCTTTAGCACACATATGCTTATGTGCATTGTTTTCTATACATCTCATATTTTAAACATATTTGAAAGCGGATCTTATGATAATTTTTTTTATTAGAGAACTTGGAGAGCTCCTTGTAATGTGAGGAGAAATAGAAAATGCTAACATAAAGCCAAAAAGCATTTCACTGAGTGTACATTTTAGAAAATGGCTTTCAGTTAGTCTCTCCCCTACCTCTTTTTTTCAGATACAACTGTAGAAGTTATGAATGCAAATCCACATCAAGTTGTATGATGAGAGGCTTTAATGATTTCCTTCCTGCTCCAGCTTTTTGAGAGAAATTGTTCCTTTCCGTTTGGGGAAATAGTAGCTTGAGGTTATAGAAATAGCTCTGTTTTTACTTAATTTAAAATATAACAGAAGGTACACTTGTAATAATGGTACTGCACTTATGCTTAACATATGTAGCAGACTCTTTTTTTCCCAATGGTATACTAGTGGAAAAACATAAGGTTGGGGGATGTGGCAGTTTTTCTCCTTACAGTTTGAAATTGAACCATACTTTTCAAACAGAATGAAAATACTTTTCATTCAGAATGAAAATATTTTCTTTCAGAAAACCTGTCATTCAGTTATGTTTTTAAAACTTATCACCACAGCTCAGGATTGGGGAGTATATATCTGCATTTAGAATGACTTTGCAAAGCTTTCATGGAGATCAGGAAAATTAGCTAGTTAATATATAATCCAAATAATTATTCATTTTGTAGGATTTTCTCCACTCATGGATGTGGAAAAAATTAGACATGGATTAATAGTGTTGTATCTCACTATAACATACAGTATGGGTCTGGATACATTTCATGGATTTTCTTGCTGATTGGTTTGGAATGGTTTGGTGCATATAAAATAATCTGTTGGATTAGTGATTCCACTATTGATTCCATTCTCAACCTTGCTAGTTATATAGCAAAAGTATCATAGTACTAGTTTCTCGGCTAGCTATCTGTTTGTCAAAGATTCTATAAACTATTACAAGTCTTGTGATTACATCTAAAGTTGTCATTGACTTCCCTTACAGGATAAGAAGTTAATCAAGGCTTTCTTTGACGTGTTAGCTCATCCACAAAACTACTTTAAATACACCGAAAAACATAAGGAAATGCTGCCACGCTCCTTCATCAAACTCCTTCGCTCCAAAGTTTCAAGTTTTCTTAGACCTTACAAATAGCCTCATATTTTCACCAACCTTCCGGGTTTCTCGGCTGCCAAGAAAACTTTTTTTCTTATGCTTATTGTTACTTTTCGGTGAATTTTTTCTACAAATAGAAACCCGCCATCTTCACTATGCAGATGCATCTAATATTTGGTCATTCCTTGGCTTTTCTTCAAATCAAATTTACTGATGATTTGGCCCTGGAAGGAACAACTGGCCACAAGGAACTAAGTCCCCTCCCTTGGGTTTCCATACTGAAGCCTCAGTCTGTTGAGAGCACCCATCTCAGTAAGTGACACACTCTTCACAAAAGTCCTCTGCTGGGACCAGTATCTCCCAGTCAATTCAGCTTTCTCATATATATATGCCATCATGTGTGGCTCCTTGTGCTGCCAGGCAGTTGCTAAAGATGCTGTTTGGGTACATTTCTCTGCATGACTGTTTCCAAAAAGAAGTACTTCTGCTATCGTATCATGCCTCTGCTTCTGGGACACCAATGAAATGGGAAGACTCTGAGCAACTGCTAAGCAATGGAATTGATCCAGCTGAATTCTTTTGTAAAGAACTGAGAGCAAAGGACACCTGGAATGTGGAAGGTTCTGCCTTATTTATCAGACTGTTGTGCTTTTAATTGAAAAATGAATCAAGCAATCTTGCAGAGAGGATCAAACAAGATACATGGGGGAGGGGATACAATGGATATAGATCATACAATAAAAAAGTGTATCACAGAAATGTGAAAAGAAATTGCCCTTGTTGGGAATGGCAAGTGTGGTGACTAGAAGAACATCATTTCATGATGGATTTTGGTGTTAAAAGCCTGGCCTAGCCACCTACTCATACAGAATAATGTCTGGGAAAGGGGAGGGGGGAGCAGAAGTTGATGAAAAGTGAGATTTTCTGATATGATTTTCCCCACAGACATTTGTGCTGAGAAATCAGTCTTCTTGTAAGCTCTGCCAAAGAGTAACTCAGTGATAAGAACGCAAGTGGTGTGAAGGGCAGGAGTAAGTGAATGTGCACTAGGATGCTCTCCTTTCTACCTTTTTCATATTATTAAGTGCAATCATTTTGAGTTGTCTTTATATTATTTAGAGGGGTTTTTTCTACTAGAAACTACAATATTTATACCTGCCTGAGAAAAGAGGATGTGTGTGTGCATATGCGAGAAAAAGAAAAGAATCCAAACATGGAATTGGGAGAATGATGACTAAATATGACTACATTTTCAGCTTTTGAAATTTTATTTTCTTCACTACAGTAAACTGCAACGTAACTCCTAAAGATAAGAGTTTGTATATGTCAAATTATGCTTTGATAACAAGCAGCTCCTGAAAGTCAGTTCAATTCAAATATTATCAAAGGCATCTTTAAAGAATATATCAAGAATCATATACTGGAATCTGTCCCCATATTAAAACTCTTTTAACACATTCAACATGCTGCTTAATCTCACTCTTTCTGACAATTTAGCTTTGTACAAGTAGAAGAATGTTTGGTTCTAAGATATTATACAGAGATGGCTAGGTTCTCTTTCTGATGCTCCAATAAGCTGCAGGGTCTGTAAAGGGTCTGGGGTCTTTTGGGAAGTCGTACCTTTTAACTCGAAGTTTTTTCTCCCTCCTAATTCCAAAAATGTAGCTATGAATTCTTAGTGAGGAGGGAAATGTTTTCTGCACCTATTCAGAAGTGCTCTTGCTTTCTCATGCTACAAAGCTGAATCCTGTATTGAATTTGGATTTTAGAATGGCTCTTGATACGAAATCATCACGAGTGTTTTTTCCTTGTCCATTTCAAATTACATAAACTGACAAGGCAAGCTACTGTATATAAAAAAGAGAGCAAACCCCACTCCCTTCTAGCACTAAGGATGAAATGTCTGCCAGCAAACAACCAAGCTCAGAGATCATTAAGGACACCACAGTTACATAAACTGTCAGTCAAGCACTGATTCATATTCAAGTGCAAATGCTGATGTTGAAAAGCAGTCTTAAGTCTAACCTAGCAATCAGAATTATGGAAAGCGGTATGCAATTATAATCAGTTCATGTACGATACTGTCAATTTTCACCAGTATTGTGTGCTATGGATTTTCTATGTCTTATTTTTAACCTGATCCAAAATCAAGAAATAGTTGTACCAAATTCACATTTCAGCCATGAAACAGAATGTAGTGGAACCACAGGGAAAGGGGCCTCGCCAAGGGGAATAAAGAGACATTCCATCTTGTGGAGTGGGGGGGGGAGGGGAGAAGGAAACATTTGAGATCAAACTCTTAGGTGTATCTGTCGTTTTTCCAAGGGAAGGCAGACAATCTGGGAAGATACTTGTAACATAGGTGATTGAATAATAAAATATCAGCTTGGGCCTATCCACAAGTGGTTCTGGTTGCTTGCACCCAACAAAGAAGTGGTTTTGATGTAAACACAGTTCTAGTATTTTAGTCGGTGAGATTCCATTATTACAAATGCTAATTGGATGCAGCATTTTCTTGAACTTACAAGCATTCGTTTATTTGGTGGAAGTGGACAGAGGTAGACACTCAAGTTGGTTATTTACTTTAGAGAAAAACAATAGAGACATAACCAGAAACGAGGGACAGCTTTGAAAAGAAAAACAATGTGTTGACTTTTGCTTTGGATTCTACTTGGTTTCTGTTATGAGATCTATTTTGCCTGTATCAATATGTAAAAAGTAAAAAAATTGACAAGCTGAAAAGTCCATCTCAAATAGGAAGTATAACCAGATATAAACAATAAAGCTAAATTATTTATAGTTGCTGTGCCATATGTCATCATCCAGTATCCCTTGAAAAATAATGAAAAGGGGTGTAGTTCGTAAAGTTATTTGCACTTGATGAAAAAATTGTATCTGATTTGTAAAAATAAAATTTTGCATTTCATATTGCCCATTTAAATTATTAAATGGAATTTCTTGGTGTTTCATTGATATTCCAGATTTTTCCCCATTGCTTGTAAAATGGCTAATGCATATTTATTGCTGCTTGCCGTTCTGTTTCTCCCTTCCTTTATGTTCCTTTTTGGAAATCAGCCAATTTTTTTCCACTAGACAGTTTGTGGGCACCAACAATTATGGTTCCAAAGCCTGCACATAGTATTTGTACTGTTAAATGCATATTATTGCCTGTTATGCCTTTCTGCTAAAAAAAAACAAAAACATAACTCCTCCAATACAAAAGCAATTAAAATTGTATAAAAATAGCACCAATGGAAAGCATGCCAATAGTATGAATGAAAATAATTATGTCTTTTCCTGTACCAGAGATGGGGATCATATTTAGATGTTACTAAGCTGCACTCCCAACATTATTCACTGTTTATAAAGGCTGGAGGTACTATGACCCACAGATGTTCAGCAATGTTTTCCAGAAAGAGAAATTAGGTTTGTTGTCATGTCTTACTGTATCCCTCAGTAGTAGCTCATAGGGATTTTACAAAGCCATTTGAAGACATAGGGCTGGTAGAAGGGTTGTTGGCCTGCACTGCATATTCAGAGGTCTATGAAAACTTGTTGCAGCCAACTTGCTGCGGAACAACTCACCATGGCCAATTTGCTGTGGGACAAGAGTTACACTAATATCAAAGAAATGGTGGAATACAATCATTAAAGAAAGGATGCAAAAGGAGGGACAGAATGAAACGTGAAGGCTCAGCACCACATCTTGAAGGGTCCCTTCAAGAGGATTGGCATACTTTAAGCACCAGAGTCAGAGATATTTTATCTGGCAGCTTTGCATAGTTCTGGCATAGCTTATCAAAATTAATATCACTTTGGGGGGGGGGGGAAAGATGCACACCTTTTCTTTTGACTCTTTTCTATAAATGAACATAGGAAAACATGCTGGGTAACACCAATAATGGTGTTTCCTCCAGCAACCTTTTTCAAGCAGAAAGTTTTAGGAAACTAAGGAGGAGAACTGAAAGGCAGTAACGTTCTTATTTCCTAGCAACTGTATTTCAGAAGCATATTATTTCTAGAGGTTGGATATAATTATGACTTGATAATTATTTGATAACACTTTTTCTCAATCTGAAGTTCACAGATTACTTGAGACTATCTGATAATATGTTTAATATTTTATAATTTTCTTTTACAATAGCATTCTGTGTTTTCCAATAACCATAAATCAGAAGTACATTATTTCTAGAGACCGGATATAACCATGATTTGGGACTATTTGATAATGCTTTTCCTCCATTAATCTGAAGTCTACATACTTGTCAAAATTACATTCATCTGGCCATCTCTTCTTTTTCAATCTCTAATCGTTGCTATCAAAGATAATTATTTTATTCTTTTCATTGCTACAGTGCAAAGGTGAAGTATTTTTAAAAGTTGAAGGATCAGTGAGTTGCAAAATCTTTCTGGCTAAATAAATGCTTGGGGACCTTATTGCTAGTATATTACTATACTTACCCCTTAGTCAAAAGTGTATACGTTTGCTGTTCTGGCATACCAAATTGCTAAAATTTGCAGACTATTAGAATCGTGTGACAAAAGGACAGCAGAACCTGCTCTTGCTTACTAAGAAATAAAGTTTATCTAAAATGAACTGTTTGATTTCTGAAATCTTGGCTTTTGGATATGGTTTGGAAGAGAAAAAATTCCTCCCATATTGTTATTTTTCAGATACAGTATTTGTGATTACTGATAAGTAGGGGTGCTTCTAATGTGGATAGCTTCTAATAAAAAATAGCATGAGTGTTTCCCATTTCTTTCTGCTGGGGTTGTTGTTAGGGTTACGTATTTTGGTTAAAATCTGGATGAACATTAGATATAGGGTTGCCGGGTGTCCACTATTTGAGTGGACAGTCCACTTTTTTCACATTATGTTCACTATTTTTTTTCACAAAATAGTGGACATTTTTTTTATTCAAAAGCTTTATGATGAAATGGTACGTAATCTAAAGCTGTACAGTCTACTTTTTTTTACTACTTAACCCCCCCCCCCCCCGCTTGTCCGCTATTTTTTGGAAGCAGACCTGGCAACCCTAATTAGATAGAATAAATACTGTATAGTACAGAAAGAATCCACTCTACTGCCCCTCTTATTTGCATAGATTTTTGCTGCCAAGTTTTGGTTGACATCTAATTGTGATAACAAGTTGGCAGAAGCAGGGGGTTAAAACTTAAGGAGTTTAATAAGCTGACAATCTCTTAACAAGTTTTGCATTAAGCCACAATAAATGGCTTAAAAGTTGAAAAAAGATAATAGCTTTGATGTCACTACCTCCACTAAACACACAATGATTTAAAAATAAAATAATCCCATAGTTCATTTGAAGCACTTATATGAATAACAATTAGTATAGCAGGTTGCAAACTTGTTTCTATGGGAGGGGGCTGATCGTAGAACAGATGTTACAGCTTTAGCTCCTTTCTCCAAATATTCAAATCTCTCCATCACAACATCCCTCCTTCCTCTTTTAGAATCAAGCTTTTAAAAAGTTTTTCATTGATAAATGTCTATGGAGATTGTCATTCATCCAGGTCATAGTTGTCCCAAAGATGCTTTTTCACGAGGCAATTGGACTTTTTTCTTTCAAGACGTTTCACTTCTCATCCAAGAAGCTTCTGGATGGTAGGGAATGAAAGGATTTATACTCCTTCCAGAT